ATTAATACTAATTGCAAAAATGAGCACACATACAATGTTCTATAATTTTCAAGTTCATTTTGCAAGAGATTGAGCTTCAATACATCAGTATATGACTAATATGTACACTAATTTCTCAAAATTGTCCTCTACATTTGCAACAGACTGATGTTTATAAAATACTAATAAGACTATACTATTTTTCTCCTGCTTATTTAAAAAGTCTCCATGTCTACCTCTTGCTCATAAGAAATCTAACCTGTTTATCAGAGCCTTTGTCACATTTATTGAACCTCTCCTATTCACTTCTACCTCCACAAAGTCTCAGTAATGGACTAATTATAGTTCTCCAAATGTACCATGGCATTTCTCACCATTGTCTTTCACAATGACATTTCTTACACCTATTATCCCTCTAGTTTTTTGAAGGTAAGTCTACCACAGCAGATATTTCATTGTACTGTCATTTTCTAAGCCCACGAATTTTAACAAAATTCTTCCAGTGAAGAATCTTGTTTGCTTTGCATATGTTAATTTTGGTGTATCTGATGACGAGGCCAATATTTGGTGTAATATATTCTCATTGACTTAATTACTTACCTAAATTTTAGTTTGCTGAAATATTGATATAATTAATATAATTGATATGGGTTATATTTCAGATGATAACTAATATTTTAGACTAAGTAGTGAGTACTTACTATATGCCAAATTTTTCTCTAAATATATAACATGTATCAATTCACTCAACCCTCCCAACCATTCTATTATCCTATGGTTTTGTACTCATTTTAAAGAGGTGGAAACTGACAGCCAGAGATTAAGTAATTTTACCAAGGACAGCTGGTAAGAAGTAGGGCCAGGGTTGAACCAGGAGATCTGGTTCCACAGGTGTTCATAGTTACCCTACTCCTCTGCCTACTATTTATGTATTGAACATATATTTGATCCTTATGACATCCAGTACATATTGGATTGGGCAAAAATTCATTTGGATTTTTCTGCAAGATGGCTCTAGTAGTGCTTAGTTGTCTTTAACTTCATTCAAAACAATTTTGTTAGATTGTATTGTGACAGCTGTCATATCAGCATGCATTGAAAAACTTATCAAAATTGGTGAATTTTTGTGTAGACATTTTAATATTGAAAATGAGAGAAAATAAGCAATATTTTGGCATATTATGCTTAATATTTCAAGAAAGGTAAAAAGGCAACTGAAATGCAAAAAAAAAGATGTGCAGTGTATGGAGAAGGTGATGTGACTGATTAGAGGTGTCAAAAGTGGTTTGTAAAGTTTTGTGCTGGAGATTTCTCACTGGATGGTGCTCCATGGTTGGGTAGACCAGTTAAAGTTGATAACGACCAAATAAAGATATTAACTGAAAATTATGTTACACCATGCAGGGGATAGCCGGCATACTCAAAATATACAAATCAATAAAGTCACTGGTGAAAATGAAAATTGCATCTTTAATTTATGGGAAAAAAACTAAACAAACTTTTTGGCCAACCCAGTAACTAATCTTAACTTTCTTTTGTCCTCTCAGTATTCCTGGGAATGCAGGGATTCTTTCTCTGCTCTAATGTTTGATGACCAGATTGAATTCTTGAAAAGTCTAGTGAAGTTTAGCAAAATGTATTAGATAACAGTGCCTTTGAATGTAGTGTGTTTGTGCACATTAGTTATTTAACCAAGAGTAAAGAAGACTTATGATATACTGACCAGTCTCCACTATCGCAAGCAACTGAAGCCCATAGCTCTCACTTTAGAAGGCAGAAAGAATTGCCTGTGAAGTCTGTAGCACAGCTCACAGAAAGAGGATGTGTAATCGGTTTCCTTAGAATCCTAAAATGCAAACATTTTACCTACAAAGACTTAATGTCAGACATCCTTAATTTATACTCTGACAATGAGTGATTCTTTCACATCAAGAGTCTTCATTCTCTTTCATCCCCAACCCAGTCAATTTACCATGTGGAGACAATACACTGCTAATTTGCTAAGGTAATAAAGCACTGTCTTCCTTGTTTCTTATAAGAGGGAATCATATAAAAATAAGTGTTGGCTACCCTATGGACCTGCATTTCCAAAGCTAGAGGCCCTTTTTTCTCTAAATAAAGGTCAGTTATCAGTAATCTTATTAATAAGGTGAACCAGGCATTGGGTAAAGACCAGGTGTCTTAGAAGGCAGGTGCTAGCTCCTCCAACTCATGAGTGACCTCAGCTTACATTGGCTTTTGCCAATCCCACTCCAGCTGGATTTGAGATAGGTTTTAACTACTAAGTAATACGTTTGGATGTCTTGGTATAGCTCAGTAAAAGTATGTCTCATCTGTTTGTCCTAAAAAGTATACTTTCAACCAATATATTGTATTTAGTAGTGTTTTGTTCCATTTTATTTCCTTCATCACAAATGTATGAACAAACACCCTTTTATTAGTTTCTCCTCTGGAGATTGACTCAGTAAGACTGAGTTATTATTAGTGAGACTCAGTTATTTATTAGTGAGATAACTAATAAGAGAGATTTGGATAAATAGGACTTAGTGGAAGGCCAGCACATTTATTTCGATGAGATCTTCATCAAGCCTGAGGAAGAATAATCTAGAAGAAATGAAGGTCTACATAAATTCCTTTAGGAAGAGTCTAAGCCTCTCTTTTGGCTATTTTAATGTAAAATTAATCATTGGATCCATCATCTTTGTCATGAAAAGCATCTGCCATTAACAAAACCTGTTCCTCTTGGAAAACCATTAGTTTTCAGTAAATTACCTAAAGTTATGGGGTACTCTGAATAAATTATAACCTGTAAGAGTCACTGTTTAATAATTCACACTTTCATGGAAAATACTGAAAGAAAATGTTTACTGGCAACGATGTCATATTCCTTATTATAGTTATCATAATTTTAATTCTTAAAAGTTATCATTTTTAGACCCTAAAGCATATGTTTTTCAGAATGTGTATAAAGATTACTTTTTGAAAAAAAAACAGAAGTTATTATTTCTGCAGTCATAAAGATTAAGACAAATTTTTTCAATTATAGTGATATTTTAATTTTAACTTTAATTTTTTTATTTCTAATTTATTTTTATTGTTGATACTATTACCAGATGTCCCCATTTTCTTCTTCTTTGCCCACTCACCTCCACCTAGCATCCACCTGTCTTTCCCTCTGGCCATCACCACACTATTTTCTATGTCTATGGGTTATGCATATATGTTCTTTGGCTAATCCCTTCACCTTCTTTCACCACCACCTCCAACCATAGCTGTCAGTCTACAGTGATATTTTTAAAAGATTAATGACAATAAAGCTCTTCTGCATTATATTTCATATAAAAATGAAATATATATGTAAAATAGCACCATGTTGATATTATATATGAAATATATAATATTTTTATACATTTCATATACAAATAACACCATTTGTGTATATATACATATACATGTGTACATACATATATTTGCAAAGTGTTGAGCCTATTTAAAATAGCCATAAAAACAAGTTAAGTGGTTTCCAAGGTCTTTGGCTAGAGAGGTTAAACTTTTAAATTAATTTTAATAGTGGTCTATCAGAAGTGTGTTTGTAGGTTAAATCTCAGAAATATGTAAAAATCATCTATGAACATTTATGTTATTAATGACAATCCATAAAGTACTAAAGTTTTGTGCTACTCATTAATCAATATAGATCATGGCATTGAGAGTCACAGCATTTAACTCATTACTCTCTTTCCAAAAATGCTGGGTGGATTTCACTCAGAGAAGCTTCTGATGTTTTTCTTCAAGAGTTCCAGTGGGGCTCCAAACTATGGAGTTAGGTCATTATTTTCAGCTTCTGTCACTTTGAACAGTTAACACACTTGGCCTCAGCTCCAGTGTCTAGTTGATGTGCCAGCTGACTGTCATGGTTTTAGTTTGGGGTTTCAATTTGTCTCTGTAGTTAAAATATATCACCCTATAATATCACTGATCTAATGAACAATTGGCAATTGTTAAGGTATCATGTTATTCCTATGGAAATATTGAAAACAGATTAGCAAATACCTTAAATATATATTTTATTTTTGTTTAGTGTATTGTAAATGTGACACAGAGCACTTTAAGGTGCTCTGTCTGGTTATACCCCTATTGCATTATTTTTAGTTTAAGTAAAAGGATTTTGAGTTTGGTTATGTCTTCTATTTTCTTATTAAAAAACATTTAAAAATGGAATTGCCTTTTCATCCAGCAGTTCTACTGCTGGGATTATACCCTAAGAGCCCTGAAACACCAATCCAAAAAAACCTATGCACCCCAATGTTCATAGCAGCACCATTTACCCTAGCCAAGTGCTAGAAGCAACTTAAGTGCCCATCAGCAAATGAGTGAATCAAAAAACTATGGTACATTTACACAATGGAATTCTACACAGCAGAGAGAAAGATGGAGCTTATACCCTCTGCAACAGCATAGATGGAACTGGAGAGCATTATGCAAGTGAAATAAGCCAGGTGGTGAGGGACAAGTACCATATGATCTCACCTTTAACTGGAACATAATCAACAAAAGAAAAAAGCAAACAAAATATAACCGGAGTCATTGAAAATAAGAACAATCTAACAATAGCCAGAGGGGAGGAGGTAGGGGACAGAGGGGAAAAGGGCTTTCAGGAACTACTATAAAGGACATGTGGACAAAACCAAGGGGGAGGGTGGAAGCAAGGCAAGGAGGTGGGTTTGGAGGGGGTAGAGAGAAAATACAGACATCTGTAATTGAACAACAATAAAATAATTTTAAAAAAAGAACATCTATACTTTTGCCTGTAAATATATTACCAATAACAGCAGATTCTATACTGTATATTGAAAAAAAGTGTATGGGCAATTAATGCATGCAAGAAGGAGTGTCGGGTCATCCCTGCCCAGGAGCTGACTCCTTCACCATGGTTGATGAGGTTCTGGAGGAAGGAATAGAAACCATAGTGAAACTCCCATTTTTTTCCTCTTTCTTTTTTCCCCTGTTTCTTTCGGCAGGAACTTTTTACCCCTGAATGCAAGTTTAAAGAATCTGTTTTTGAAAACTATTATGTAATCTACTCATCTATGCTGTACAGACAACAGGAATCTGGTAGAGCCTGGTTTTTGGGATTGAATAAAGAGGGACAAGCTATGAAAGGAAACAGAGTGAAGAAAACAAAACCAGCAGCTCATTTTCTACCCAAGCCATTGGAAGGTGAGTGTTATGTGTGCATATTCTTATCAGATGTATTACACATTTAGTTTTTGTATTGATAACTCTGCTTTGGCCATCAAGAACCCTTGGGGAATGCTGGAACTATTCTTTATCTTGACCTGGGTGATGGTTGCACAGATGTGTAGTTATATTGTACATTTAAGATTTGTACACTTTGCTGTATGTGTATCTGTGTCTATATATGTATACACCTATTTATACTCACAAATTGATAGAATATATACACCTGTGTATTCCATTAATTTTAAAAATGCCAGCAAAACTCCCTCTCTACCTATTTCTAATGTCTTAAATTCTCACTGCTCCAACTTCTCTAGCTCCTAGAATAATTTAATTACTTTAAAAAATTTTAAATTTGTAATAATGTTACAAATCTGTGGCTGTAACAATAGAAATATTAGGAAAACTTAGTTTAAAGTATTATGGAGTAAATATATTTGCTTGTTTTGATGTTATCTAGCTTAATTGTATTATTATGAATTATTGTAGTTACAGAAAATGAAGAGTTAGTAACTTGTCTTTTAAAGAACTTGTTGATTTTCTTATCTCCCTTCCAAACTGTATAATTGTTTAGTATTCTTAATTGTGCATTATCTTCTTTTATATTCACGTGCAAACAATGAAGTCATTTACTTTGATCAGATTCTGAGAAAGCAGGCTATAAACTTTTGTTAATTAATCAGAAATATTTGTACCTTTCTCATCAAGGATTTGGCCGGAAGTATCATTTACTTTTATCTATGTAAATTTGCTTGTGAATTACACAAAAGAATGACATTGGGGCTTTTCTGTAGTGTTTTCTATTTAAATACTTCTTATTTCATGGAAAATTAGATATACAATTACTAAATAAGCACTGTAAGCTAGTTTAAACAGTTTGATTTTATGCTTGTTTTTTATCCTTACAGGAAAGCCTTAACCATCAGAAAATATCCACATTGATTTTATAAATCCACATTCTCTCTATGAGAATAAATAATTTAAAATATTAAAAATTAAATATTAATTATGTGTGAATTTATAATTCAGCTTTCAGTTTGCCTAAGTTTGGAAAAGAACTCTTGTTGATTAAAACCATCTTTATAATTTCAATGATATTGACTTTCCATCATCCTCTACTAAATTTGTCTCTAGAACAAGTCATTGAAACCCAAACAGTTAACCACCAGGGTCTATCTAGGAAAATAAAACTCATGCCAGACTGAAATATGAATAGGTTATTCTCACTATATGATAGATCATAAAGAAAATTAGAAAATAAATAAGGAATTAGAGGGTTTCTCTGTTCTTCTAAAATAATACCTCAGTGATTTGCTTTATATTCTTTAAATGAATTTTGTAGACATCAGATTAATTAATAATCAAATGCAAGTGAAAAGTTTAAAAACTTAGTCAATAATAGCTCTAAATAATATTAGTTTTTTAAATATGGATGCTTAGGAATTGACTAAATTTCTAAAACTTTATCTCTTAGCTGCAGAAATGTAATGAAAAGCAAAAAGTCCTTTATGTCTCTTTTAAGTGAAGCAAAATTTGGAAACCAACTATTTGGTATATCCAGTAAGAAGTATCTGAGACTCTAAGGTGTGATACAATAATATCACTTGGTATTTCAGTCATGCACTGAACTGTTATGTGTGTGTGTTATATATGTATACATGAGGAAGAGAGAAACGATATTTTCAAATAATTAGCAGATAGAAGTACTCTTAATAAAACAATTAAGGCAGTATTGTAATGGCAGAGGTTATCACATAGTGCAGTTGATAGAGGAAATTAATGTCAAGCTTTCAAGACACATACATGATATAAATTATATCATTGAAAGTGTTAGGGAAAATTAGCTACTTGATTAATTAGTGATGCTGATCTGAGGCATTCATATGTCTTATCATCACTAGACAATCAAAGTTAATGCTCTGATACTATTGTCTCCTAATTGGATTAGTAGTGGGGGTAGAGATTGGAAAGTGTTTCAAGGATATGGATTAATCCCTTTTACCACCTTGCCAAGTCCTTTAATATAGGTCTGATGTATACAAGCACTTTCAAATATATGTGATACTGAAAAATCATGATTCATAGATGCAAAAGGTAAAATTCTACCACCTTGAACAAGAAGATTGTACAATATATGGTAGTTCATCCTAACTATACACAAGTTCTCTTCATAAAGTATAGTAACTCCTCATTTAATGTTATCTACACATACTTGGAACTGCCACTTTAAGCAAAACAAACTCTAATGAAACCAATTTTAAGGTAGTAGGAATCAGATTGTTTTCTTCAACATGATAATGAACTTGACCAAACAACATTATTCTAGGACCTGCTGTATCATGAACTTTCAGAAACCTCAAAAGCAAGCTGGGCAGGTCTAATATACTTGTGTTTCTGATGGCAGATGATTTTAACTCACCTAGTCTTCCCCATGCATCAGACACTCATGTTTTTTTCCTATGATTCCTAAGAATCATTTTCTTAAAAGCCACATGAACTCTTGTTTGACTGTGTGGCCAGACACTGTTCAGACAGTTTCCCAGAGCTCACCAGATGTCAGTCCCACTTGCTCTCTTGCTATTATGTACTTCTGCTATGTATGACATCAGTTATTAGATTTGTAATAATATATCATGAAACGAGGCTTAAAAAAATAGAAAATACCACACAGTTGCTTTCAGTTATTTAAGGGTCTCTTTTCATAATCTCGGGAGAGGAAATCTAAACAATGATCTTCCTAAAGCCCTGGTTCAGGAAAAGCAAGTCCTTTGTTATTGCTTTGTATAGCTTTGAAGTTGACACTAGTGTGACCATGTTGCTTTTGAACCACTTGAGAGAAAAATAATTTAATGATCTAGGGTGTAAATACTTGAAAAAATGAATAGAAATGGGTGGTTCAAGTGTCAGTGTGCAGTGGAAAGAATGTCTGATTTTTTTAAACAAAGAGAATTAGGTTTAGGCTTGCCCTTCTCCTCTACTTATTGTGTGTGTATATATTTTCATATTTTCAAAGAGGCCATAGCTCCATTTAAACCACCTCTCCTACACAAAAGTCCATGCATACCTATGTACATATTTTAGTTATATAAACCAGATAACATGAAGGTAGTAATATCTGCTGTTTGGGGGCAGGAAGGTACTTCTGTAAAACAGGAATCCTTTCAATGGGATTGATTTACTTGAGGGAAACAAGACTGGGCAAACAGCTGAGGTCTGCACATATACTCAATCTTAAACTGAACTAGGTAACGTTTCCTTTTCCTCCTTTCTTCATGCCCTCCTTCCTGTCACTAGTTGCCATGTACCGAGAACCATCTTTGCATGATGTTGGAGAAACGGTCCCAAAGGCTGGGGTGACGCCAAGTAAAAGCACAAGTGCATCTGCAATAATGAATGGAGGCAAACCAGTCAACAAAAGTAAGACAACATAGCCAGATCCTCACAGGTGTTGTGACTTACTCATCCTGAGCACAGTTGAGTAATTTATCCTTGCCAAACATTCCTGCTCCCATGGCTGAGGAGCAGCTGGAAGTAAGTGGATGCTTGCTATTTGCTATTTTGAAATTTTTGGTTGCAAGTGGATAAATCTCAACCTGTTGCACCTCCTACAACAAGAAAACACCTGAATAACCAGCTAAACTCAGACCATGGAATGCCCTACCAGATATGGAATGCCTTTTTAATACCTTTTCTGTGACTGTGACACTTCATGTGAATGATATACTTCACAAGTACACTCGATACCTTGCCTGCTGACAGCTACCCATAATCCTTTTTGAGTCCTGTTTCAGCAACCTCCATGTGTTTAAGTTCAATTTTGTAGCACACAGATACTGAGTAATTTCTAGGTAGAAGCTGTAAACCTGTGCTCTTATGGATTTCTCTCCTTCCCATTTTTACAGGCTGCTTGCTCCACTGTCTGTGACCTATTGCAGGGATTGTGTTTCTCTAAACCTTAAATGTTGCAGTTGACTTAGTTCAGAGAGTGATCAGGGAATCAGGAAGCCTCCTAAACCTATTACTACAAATTGTATCATAAAGGTCAGGAGTGGTGTCTCCAGCTCACACTAGCAATTAAACACACATACGCACTGTTCATTGGCAGGTACTGTGATCCTGAGGTTGGCGTTGCTGGGGTGAGAAACCCAGCAGTGTTTCTCACTGGGGTCAAACACTGTACATGGGATGTTCTCTAAGATATGTGTTTGACATCCCCCTATAGTTTCTTTGTGTGTGTGTGTTTTATACATATCACAAGCTTACTGGTAATGGTAACATTTGCCTTGCCCAGCGAGCAAGACCCACTGGTTTTTGAGAAAGTGGGTCCAAAGAACTCTGTAGGCCTTGTAGGCCTGATTAAGGTTCATTTTTCATCTACTATTCCTCATTATTTGGAAAAAAAGAAAAAATCAATAATTACAACTTATAAGAGTTGCGCTACCTAAATATATTTCAGATATAATCCTTCCTATTTTTAATGAACCAAATTTAATGCCATCCCGGGTTTTGGCTGCGTTCCACTCACACTCAGCAGAGCATGGGCAAGGCGGCTGTTGTGTTCTTTTCTGCAGCAGCAATGCAAACCTTAGTTATAATTAGACTTTAATATTTTTTGGTGTTTAAAGACAGGTTTTTAAACTGGACACATTAGGAAAAAATATTTTTTTTAGCTCAGCATGCTGAGTCAGGTACTGTGTATTTCACCAGTCCATACCTCTAACTCAACTTCTTAGGGCCCAGGTTGCCCAATGGCTGGGATAGAGGTGCCTTGCCATGATCTTAGAATGCAGTCTGTTGAATTATTCTAGATAAAATTAAAGGCAAACCAACACATTTAAACATCAGGTTGCTGGCCCATTCAACCAACTTACTTTTGTTTTATTTGCTTTCTTAATTTTCTCTTAAATAACTCTGAGCTTAGGGGAGACAACTCCCAAGAAAGGCCATGAATAGTTGAGACAACACAGTGAAGAAACCATGCAAAGTGTTCAATATTCAATATAAAGAGTTGCAAAATGTTTAATATTAAACTGTTTGGAAATACATTGTCAATTCTGTGTATACTTAATAAAATTCAATGTTTTGTCCTCAGAAGAATTGAGACCAAACTGAACCTCATTTATAGAAAACTACATGTGGGATCATTATACTGGCCTCTTGTTATTAATTCTATGTTGAAGGGTGATCCAGTCACTATTTACCCCCATCTGCACTGTATTTCCTGAGAAATGATTTTGTCACTGCTTTTCTAAGTCTCCATGACAGTTCTTGCCCAGCATTTTAAAATATTGGCCTGCTTAGCTGGTTAAAGATTTAGTATAAGTTTAATTGTTTATGCTTATTTAATTTTCATATTGGATTCCATTTTAATAAATAAAAAGTTAGCATAATGTTTGAGTAGATTTATTGTTGATAATGGCTAAAATACAAATGCAACAAAATGATTCCTTGGACAATTCTTGGTTTGTTATACCATTTTGAAGCCTATTGTTTTTTAACAGGATTAGTTAAAATACATTAGATGAATTTTATAACTACTTATTTAGGGAAGACATGTAATCCATAACATGTGGCAAACTATGAATAATTTAATTTGAAATTCCAAGTAAGTGGGTTTATAGACACTGTTTATCCTAACACTCACACACACACATACTTATCAAACAACCCACTGATTTGCTTCTGGTAATCAGCCTTATTTATTCATTTCTTTTCCCCTGCAAGGCTGCTTATTGATTAAAATTGACAAGATTTATTTTTCTGAAGACCGAGATTTATGAAAATGTACCCCTGTTTTTTTATATGTGTTGTCCACAAGGTCATTTATTCTTATGAGTGGATGTCAAAATACTTTCTTCTAATATATGTTTAGACATATTGCAAAAGGTCTTTGTTATTTGTAAATTATTCTGATTACTTCCTTTGTGTTTGGTCTCATCTGTTGCACGGAACAAGGGCAGCACTAATGAACTGCATGTTGTAGGACTTTGGTATCAAGAACTGTTGGTATGTATTACTCAATTTACATACAAAAAGTTTGCATTTTACAGTTTCTGTGTTTAATATCATTTGTTATATTCACAAACATATTGAATAAAATATTTATATGAAGGCATTTTGGGAAACATCAAACAAGTTTATGTAATGAAATGGCATTACATCACCCACAAATATAGAGATATGTCATGCATATAAGTTGGTAAGTCATCTTCCCCTATTACCATGCCAAAGAAAATTTTAGCTCTTTGATGATACCTCTCTCATTATTTTTCCAGGATAAGACCCTTCTCTCTTTTTCACCTCAAAAATCAACCTTGTTGTTATTAAGTAATTGCAGTCTGTCACCATTGATGTCCTGTATAGTAAATCTGATGGAACTCATTTGTATTTACAGACTATGTGTTTTGTACCTACATGTACATATGTCAATTGTTTTGAGCTTAACATCACATTCCATTTGCATGTGTATCTGGTGTAGGAGGGTTATTTCTATTGATTCATTATAATAGATGATTGCTTCACCCATCCCTCAGCAATGCTTGGGAATGTTAATGGTTTGATATTTCAAGTGACACCATTTTTATTTTCATATCAGTTTGATTTCTAAAGTGTTTTGCTAAAATTTTACCTGGAAAAAATTATAGAAGAAATGCAAATAGTCCACCCTATGTAAAGAGTAAATTGTATTGAGCATCATTTCATTATAAATACTGGAGAATTTAGAAATTCTTTGCTGTAAATGTTCACTTGTCCTGAGTGTTTTAGAGTAGTGGGTGGCTTCAGGAGCTCCACAATGAGCCCATAAGTATCCTGCTACAGTCTTTCTAATTGTTTACCTTTTGAGAGTAAGTAGAGTTTATTATACCTGGCCAGCTGCTTAATTAGTATCTAAAGCACTAGTACAGTCAAATGTTTTTAGGATGACCAATATCAGATTAGGTTGTCCTTAAAGATAAACAGAACAACAACAACAAAAAAACCCTTCTTGTTCTCTATGTTAGATATGTATCACTTTATTTAAAGTTTTCTCCCTAATATTATAGGGAGAATTAAAATTTCAGAGAGAGAACAGACTATAAAATCTATTTTAGAATAAAGTAAAAATATTTGAAAATCAATTTCAATTTCATTCCATAATAAGATTATATCCAGGGAAAGCAATTGAGCTAAATAGAGTCATATCAAAATCTAGATTTGAATTATGTTACTTTGAAGTGAAATACATTTCATAGTTTAAGTCCCTTAGCTTACAAAGTGGTACAGGGCCTGTTGACTCTTGAATACTGAATAGGTTTTCAAAGTTTTGAAAATGAGTCTGAAAACAAAGGCTGAGTTGTATTTTGTTTAGTTTTGTTTTTTCTGGGTTTTCCATATCATTCAGTCTAATTCTGATGTTTGCTGGCAGAGTTGGTGAGGTCATTCCTTTCAATGTATTGAAGGACTCTAGATTAGCTCAAGGAGTCCAAGGAGAAAATGGAGTATAATATTCTTCTCTTAGATCTTATGATGTTAGTGGAATTTTATTGAAAAGTCCTACTGGAAAGATTTCTCAGTGATGGTTTGCCAAGCAAGCAGGGTTTGTGCCAATATCACTTACAAACTTGTTGCATCCTCTTCATTTGACATTTATCCCATTGTAACTTGGGACAAACTTGGATAAGTAAATGAGATTTGCACATTTTCCCTTTTTCTTGATCTCTGTTCATTATTTTTGTTTGTTTGTTTGTTTTTATTGTTGTTCAAATACAGCCATCTCCATTTCCCCCCTGCCACTCCCCCGACCCCAGCCATCCCAACTTCCCACCCTCAGTCTTACCCACTTCTGGTTTTGTCCATGTGCCCTTTATAAATGTTACTGAAAACCCTCCCCCCTCCTTTTTTTATTATAAGTTTGTCCTTGCCTTGCCATCCTTCTTAATAAAAGAGAGGGAGTTTCTATCTTAGCAATGGAATCAAAAGTTGAAGTACAAAATCATATTTAAGAAGAGTAGAATGTATGTCTTTACATGTAACTATTTTTATTTTATTTTTACAATTTAAACTTGTAAACTAACTCATTTCTTAATAGATCTATTGATGTTTGAAAGCTAGAGTCAAAATAAAACACACACAAGAAATATTCAAAAGTTCAGTTCAGTAATTTGTTGCTGAATGAACCAAGAATATAGATGATTGCTATGTATTTTCAGCTTGTCAAAAATTTGGACAAATCAAATTCTGAACTTGATAATAAACATTTCTCCATATCTAAACTTTTTCTTTAAAAACATAAATGCTGAGGGCATTTTTCTTACATTAAATTTTAAAAAGAGCAACACTTTTATTGTAGTTGAAATTAATGAAAAGAGAAAACAAATATAGAAATGCGAGACACACCTTAGTTTATGTGAGGAGGCGAAGGAAATTAAGGGCAGTGCCAGCAGAGCACATGGCAGCCAACTACTCCTTGGCTGTGAGCCAGATCCAGCTCACATTTAGTTTTTGTATGCCCTAGGAAGAGTTCAGAATGAGTTTTTCTTTTCTTTTTTATGGTTTTACAATGTCAAATACAAACAAAGCAGAATATGCCACAGAGATGTATGTGGCCCACAAATTCTAAAATATTTACCATTTTTTTTTTCCATAAAAAGCAGAACTCTGCAATAAGGGAACCTGGACATCTCTTGTACTGTGATGGCTGGATAATGTAGGAAATTCCAATGTGTCCATCATCAAATAAAGTCATCATTGCAATTGCTACTGAACAATTATAGTAGGTTTGTTTGAAACTTGAAATACTTAGCGAAGAGGAAAGAATATAATCTATTTCTTAACTGCTTACATTTCCCTCATTTTACAAAAGTGATGTCTCAATTGACATGCTCAACAATCCAGATACAACTAATGTAGTTGCTCTCCTTAATCTCAGGATAGAGAGAACAACTTCATAAATCTGTTAAAGTATGAAAACACTATTAGTATTGGAAAAATCAACATCAATTACATTTTCTTTTAAATCATTTTCAATATAAATTATAAGTAACTCAGCAGATACATATTTTCTTCACTTTTGGTAATTTGACTTACAAAGTCCAACCCATGTCTCTAAAATACTTACATCATTAATTCCCAAGTAAAAATTTTCACCTTAAACAATATGAAAATTATTTTATTATATTATTGTAGGATTTTACAAAATATAATTCACATTTAGAGAAAATGTGTGTCTTTTTTAGCTCTAAATGATTAAAGGTTGCCTAAACTAATGTGTGTCAGTAGATTTAACTGCAAATATGTAAGGGAAGTCCAAATTATTGTACATTCTCATAATTCAATGTGAATTTCATACAGAGCAAAATTTCATCATAAAAATAAACATTTTGTTCTTATCACTGTGATTATTTGCAATTTATATTTAAGCCATTTCTAGATTTTTCTTTTTATCCTCTGAGCTTTTGAGACTGGTGCCAGTTTATCATGGCATCTGTTCTTGACTTTTGTGCATGACCTCAATATTTCAATAAGTAATGTGTACTTAGAAGTAGGAGAATTTTTTAAGAGAAATGAATACATATTTTTGGCTCATCATAGAGCTAACTAGATATTGTCTTTTTAAAAAGCAATTTACCATGGAGTAACTTAATTAGTGAAAAATCAGATTTCTTATACATGTAACCCATGCCCAGTTTAAAAAATGTTCTAATAATAGAAAATGGATGCTTTTGAATAATAATTCATTTTAATCATCAATTGGTAAAATACATATGACACAGTGTAAATGACATATATCATTATTCATTTAAAATGTTAAATTGTACATTTTCATAATTTCTTTATCTTTAAAGAATATTCTTTTGTGAGTTTAATGTGAGACTACACAAATGTCTTACTGACTAAAAATAGCCATTATTTTTTTCAAAAGCACTAGTGATATTGCCTCTGCCTCCTACCCTGTCCAACATTATACTTCATGTGTGTTTATATTCATTGTCTCCATATGAAAATACTGAGTGATATAGAATCCTGGTGAAACATGATCAACAGATTTATGTGAGGATATATATTTTCCTTTTATTCTAAAATGGCCTTTGTTGTGTAGGGATGTTCATTTCTAACAACCGTGTAATTCAGCATTTCTTAACTCCAGTACTATTGACATTTAAAATCAGATAATTCTTTGTCATAGAGGAAAGTCTTGTGCATGTAGTGTGTTTAGCAGCATCCCTGGCTTCTACCCACAAGATGCCTGTAGCACACTCTCCCACCCCACCCAGTGTGACAATCAAAATTTTCTCTAGACATTACTAAATGTTTTCTGTGTGGCAGAGCTGTCCTTGTTGAGAACCACTGATGTAAATTGTGAAAGAAAAATTTCTTTCTGGTGTTATGTACATAAGAGTTTGCTTAACTCATTGTTAATAAGTATCTAGGTTTCATTCAGAAATATTCAATTCAGGCTTTCAGAAATACAAAAACATGTAATAGTCTGTTTGCCCTGTCTTCATGGTGATTATACATGGTTTCCTCTGCATTTGCATTTTCTAATGTCCTACGAAAATAAGAATCCAGTCCTCTTCCATCTAATTGTTAAGGATAGTCTGTGCCAAGCCAGATTTCACATGCGTTTCCATTCCATCCATCCCAGCATTCACAGTTTCCACAACTACATATTCCATTCCCTGAAATAAAATACACAGGAGAATCGTTATCATGATTGAAATATACTGAGTTAAAATGTGTTATTGTAAACTATAACTGTTCATAATCAAAGCCATTTTATTCATTCTCTGCTAATTTTCTCATTGCTGTCTTTCAAACAATTAATGGCATCTACTGGGTGCCACTCTCAAGTTAGCATCAATCTAATGGTAACCATTAGTATCACTCCAACCAAGTTTCCATGTCATAATTTTGTTTTCCTGTAGAGAGCAAGTTACATGTGACTTATGAATAAATGCTAAAGATCTTAAAGCTCCTTGACATAGTATGAGCTAGGCTGAATAATCAGCTAGAAGAGGAAGATTGTATAATAGGATAGACAGAAAGTGAATATCTATCTTAATAACACACATATTTATCTTTGTCCTTTAGCTAGAAATACAGAGAACAAGCCCTGGCTAGTGTAGCACTGTGGATTAAACACAGGCCTGTGAACCTAAGGGTTGCTGATTTGACTCCTAGTCAGGGCACATGACTGGGTTGTGGGTCAGGTCTCCAGTAGATGACACATGAGAGACAACCACACATTGATGTTTCTCTTCCTCTCTTTTTGTCTCCCTTCCCTTTTCTCTAAAAAAATAAATAAATGAAATGTTTTTAAAAAAGGAACATGGAGAACAAATATACATGTCTATATTTCTCCTATAACATTTTAAAGAACATATATTATAGAACCAAATATTAGGACTCAATAACTCAGGATAGCAGTAGCTATTATACTCTTAACTTGTTTTCATTCTCCTACCCCTCTCCCTGCCACACCCATTCCCTAAAAACATCCAATGCATCAACCAACTTTGGTACTTGGTTCCTGTTTAAAATAATATTCCATTCTCTACACCATGCTCAAAGTAAGATAGTTGTCAAGAGAATTATTTTATTTTTTCAGTATGTAAAACAGCATATGTGGAAGTTGGGGGAAGTTACTTTGGGAATTTTTCTCCCAAATTATGTAATTTTGGTGCATTTGTTTGTATTCTTTTATGCCTGGGAATAATGTTAGTGCTTATTCACAAATGCCCACCTCCATTTACATACTTTATATTATTTGGCCCTTGAGAATACAGAAGCTCTCCTTCCCAGTGATGTACAGCAAAATGTGAGGTGTGTCATTTGCCTTTATTGCAAAATGTGGCATAGATCAATTGGAGTAAGGCAGTACTGCACCTGTGCAAATGAGACCATCATGTTTGTCACAGTCTCTGTCATCACAGTCACAGAATTCTCCTGAAATAAACCATTCTTCAGCAGAACAAATGCACTTTCCACAGTGACAAGAACCTGAAATCACAAAGGGTATATTGGTAGTCACCACATAACTAAAGGTTTCCATCTAGAATAGAATACCATCAATGCATTGACAATAGGCTTCTAATAACCTATCTTTCAAAGGTAAAAGTTTATGGAATAGCCAATTGCTCAGAAGGGAGCTTTACTTCCTGTAATTCATAAAGGTTATCCAGGAAAGGCTTCATTATGGATCTAGACAGTAGCAATTAGCCTTGAGCAAATGTTCCATGGCTCAGTCTGGTTAAAATGTCAATGAGAGCAGAATGTGACTGATTTTTATAAATGGCCTTCCAAAAAGGTGTTCAAAAATAGATGGTATTTTTTTCTGAATTGAATTATGTTTTAAAAGTGTCTGTCCTTTGAAGGAATTGAATAGAAAGTTCTATTAAATGAGGGTACATTTTATAATTAAAACAACTGCTAAATTTATTGTGCTTATACTCACAGATTTTTGTTTATGTGATTTTTTTAAAGTAAAGACACACCTACATATTGGGTGACTCAGTAAAGTGCTAAAAATACACACAAAGTCATTCATTTAGATTTTACTTATTAAGTTTTATTCTCAGGATTTCCTGCCATAATCCAGGATAGCTGTAACCATCATGCCCAAATGATCAGCTTTTATGAGGCAATCCAACCACCTTTCTCATTGCTTCATCCATTTCCCCTCTTATTATTTCCTACCTAATTAAAAACTTGCTCTTTGGCTATTAAAATATTTTGGTTTGCTGAGAAACAATCGTATTAATGGT